CAGCATGCCAGTTCTCCCCCAGCTTAAGAAAAAGAAAAACCCTTAGCATTTTGTGCTGACAAAGACATCAATTTGACTTTCTGAAATCAATGAAGCCATACAATGTGCTCAAAAGCGAGGTTTAAAAAACTCTAGTGATGAAATGATTGATTTTTGTTACAATCAGCAATTTCTGATCAGCCAACAGAGACAAAATGTTAATTTGTCACATCTTTTCAGCAAATTAAAATTAATTTATGTAACGTAGGAGCATGCCTTCTCCCGAGAGCTGAATTGATGTACGTGTCTATAATACTTCAGAAAATAAGTCCTGCATTTTAATTAAAATTCAATGAATCTTCTTCCTTCTACACAGAAAAGGTCTATGTCTGCAGGCTGTGGTGAAAAATTATGCCTTTCATTTAGATAAAAGGCTAATCTCATTACACACTGGCGTTATCATACCGTGTAACAAAAGAGCTAATTGTCATGCATTATTACGCCGAATACTCATCAGGCCAAAGATTTAAACATACAGTTTGACAATCAGTCAATCAATCAACTCATTAAATAATCCAAGGTTATTACTGTATGCATCTACCATAAAGGATCTGCTATATATCCTAGTACTATGCATGAACTTTTTAATAACAAACCTAAAACAGGATTTGGAATCAAACGTAGGCAAAAAAAAAAAAAGATCTCATCTAATCCATCATTAAAACTAAGATGTAAAATCTACTTTGGGACTGTATTAGAGCATCTAATTCTCCAGCAAGAAGCTGCAGCATGCACATAGCATCATTAATACTGCATCACTAACTATTTGAGACTCTTCTGACCAGATGGTGTAAACTGCTTTGGCTCCATGTACGGTTTCCTTCTGCAAATAAAAGTCATTTTAGCTCAGTATGAGCAAGATTGCCTTCTCCACATTAAATGCACAATCCACACTTGCAAAAACAGTGCTGGTGTTATGATAGGAATAGACTCATTGGCTAACAACATACAGTTACAACAGAAGCCTTTTTAAGTCCACTGATAGTTTGGGATTGATAGGAATATTGCATGTAGGTTAAATGACACATGATTTGGGCACATACAGCAAGAAAAAGTCTTGTTCGATTGACCTCCCTGTGGACACCTACAAACATGTCACCTTTCAGCTAATGCACAAGGGTCTGATTCTACTAGGAAAGCAGCTCATAATAGGCACATATGAGAGGTTAAACCCTGAGGTGTTCAGATTGAGAAGAAAAGCAAAGATCTACACATATGTAATGAAAATGGCTTTAATACCTTCTCTTGTCCCGATGAAGTGAACATAGCTAGTTCTACAAAGCTCTTAATCCTGCCATTGAGAGCAGTAGGATTATTCACAGAGCAGATACAGCAAAAAAACAACCTGAAAACCCACAGACCTCTCTAAGTTGACCACACCATTGCACAAAAAATCCTTATTAGACTTCTTGCTGGCACCTAACATACAATGGTCAGATTATACCTGGGAATCAAATAAAGTCTGAACAAAAATAAATGTCTAAATGAAGAAATACTTTTAACAATTAACATTTGTTGGAGACTTGGTTTGTGAAGTTAGTGTCTCTTTAGGTTGTACAGGTAACACCGGTTTGCCAACCAGTCTGGCCTGTGCTCTATTTACTAAACGTCTAACAAATAGGCAAAAGTCCATAAATTAAATGAATTAATTAAGTCAATTAAATAAATAAATTAATTACGTTAATTAAATCAATGCCAAATACAGGTTGGCAAAATCTATTAAAAACAGCAAACTGTGGTTAAGGGAAGTAAAATAGCTGTAACACACAGCCTCTAGTGGTTTACTGCTTTTATAAAATGCAAAGTAGAGCAACAAGAAAATGCTCAGTAAATAAATGCTCTTATTAATATTCACAATAAACAATTTCTCCGCCAAGTAATTCAGCTTATTAGCCTAAAAATAGACTGTTCATGGTTGCATGCAAGGTAGCATCTTGGTGCACAAACAACTGATTTTACCTATTTTACCAATCAGAGTTGGAACTACTCATTTTATAAAGCATATTTTGGTCACCTCTATGTGCACAGAGGCAATAAACATACCATGAGGTCACTGAGGGGAAAAAAATGATGCCTACCATCTTCTCCACAGATGGTGTGGTTCCATTACAGCAGCAACTGTTAACATGAAATTGTTGCAGCTATTGTGTGGTAATGGGAACATTATTGATTATTGTCATTGCCTTCTTCCACCAGACAATGTCAAAACTGATCCCTATCCCAGCTGTACCTAATCCCATGGTTTTTAGCAGTGCCTTCAGGTTACAGACAAAGCTGGACACAATCCCACTCAATAAGGACAGAAACATGAGATCAACTTTATCTTCAACAGACCATGGTCACCCGCATTCAGCAATAAAAAAAATCCTGTTACTAAAGGTCATTGTTGAAACCTCCTCCTTTCTACAATGACCTTTAGTAACAAAAGAACAACATCTGGTGAACAAGCTGTTGATTTACAAGAGGGTTACAATCCATGTATTTCTCTCTTTTGGCTCCTATTGTTCAATATTCTAAATTTTATTCAATGGGAACCAAAAGAAATCCAAGAGGATTTGGTCATTTGGTAAATTAGTTTAATTGTAAGAGGAATAGGTAACCCCAAAATAAAAATTACATCATCATTTAATCATGCTCATGTTGTTGTACAGCTTTATTCAAGTTCTTATTTCTGTGCAATTCAAAATGAAAAAACGTGAAGAACTTTCACTCTGCTCTCCTCCATACAATTTAAGTGGATGGGGACCAGGGGATCTCACATTTTAAAAAATATGTTATGTTATGTTATGTTATGTTATGTTATAAAAGTAGAAAAAAGTTAGGAAAAAAAGAAAAAAAGTTTCAACTTTCATTGCTTGGACAGGTCTCGAAAAAATGAAGGTGAGAAAATTACTGTTTTCATTTTTGGATTAATTAATCCTTTCAAAGCTAAAAAGAGAAACAGTGTGAGCAAATATATCAATTAAATAACTGCTTGAAATATTACATTTCTCAATACCTGCTGTCATGAGAGCAAGGTGTGAAACCGTAAAATTAAAAATGTCCTTGGATCATAAAAAGTGTTTTCTGTGGCATATGTAAATGACTAGGCTTTTAAATCAACCTACAAAGACAGACAATGCCGGTTAGGTCCCTGTGACACGATGACAGCAAAACAGCTGCTGGGTCTCATGGCTCGTTCCATGGTAAAGTGTAAAATTCTCTTTGATATGGTGAAATTAAAATGAAGATTAATTATGAATTAGTGTGACTTCCTATAACAGCATCGCAGGTTAGTAATCAGCATTTCTACCGTCCACGCCATCTGCGTATCCTCTTCTCTTCATAACACTGAACTGAAGTAAAGTTTTATGATTCCTGCAGAGTTGAATACCACAGCGGCCCATATCATGAATTAATGTAGGCTGTTAATTTCTTTCATTCTCATGGGAGTCCATTTAAAACGCACTGGCTGAAGAATTACATGGCATTATGCTTATTAACGTCAAGATGCTTTAGGAGTGGACACTGAGTTGGGACAGAATACATTTATCATAACCTTACTTCTGTCTGGACCACTATCGTCAAAGATGATTGACAATTAGCATACAGTTTGGATTGGCGGTATGGTTCTGTTCTGGGCAAGAACTCCCTGTGCATCCATGCAGCCTAGCATGGATGAGAGCAGGGAGAGCAGCGATAACCCCCCCAGGGTAAACAGAACAGAACCAACATAAATGTATTGCAGATATCGTTAAAGTTCAATAATGTTATGTACACATTTTAGAATTAGTCTGATTCAAAGGAGAATCAGAAGGCTGAATCCTGACTGACAGAGGAGGAGTTGGGGATGGAGGAGGGTAATTAGCTATTGAGCAATGCGAAAACTGCTGATAATACTGAGGGACCTTATATATGAATGCTTAGATAAGTGTCGTATTCCCATAGGTTGATGGGGATCAGCTGAGAGTCAGCTGATGCAAGCTTGACTAACGTGACCTGCCAGAACTAACGCTATGCTAGATATATTCAAAGCCTAAAAACATGACCACAGGTATTAGTTTCATCAGCTCTTATGGCGACATAGTTGTCCATAGTTAGCCATCCATCCAGAAACAGACATTCATCAGAAAGCCCGTCCCTCCCTCTTGTTAATAATGCCGAGTAGCTGTGAGGGCATCAAATCCCATTTGCTCTTAAGCTACGTGTGCTGATTTTTATCCTCTCCCTGGAGCTCGGTAAGACTGTCATTTACCTCATCACCTTGACACGGTCCTGTGCGAGGTCCTTTCACGCAGAGATTTTTGCATATTGTCAAACAACCGCTGAACCGTGTGAGCCAAAGGTCTGAGCTGACTGACAGGATTCGCTCACTTGTGATTACAACACATTAAAGAATAATGAGTCTGGCCTACACAATAAACAATCCTGAGAAACAAAACACGCATTTACAGACTTGGAAGCGCGAAAAGACAATAAACTAGTATAAAAGCTGACATTTTTGACATTCATTGCTCATAAAATAATCGCTAAAATCTATCATTCTGACCACAGCAAGGGAAAGTTGTTATTTCCTTAATTAGGGTATTATCTCCTGAACGGGAGGAATTAGGACAATGTATTTGCAGTGAATGACTCAAGATTCTTTTTTTTTTTTTAAATGAGCGATAACTGAATGCTATTAACGCCATTGTAATGGCGTACTGGCAGTGTAAAACTGAAAATATGAGCAAACCCAATATGAGTAGGACCAGTAATGAAAGGCACAAATTATGCCTGAAATATGCAGTTGCAAAAATGCCTCAAAGATGGCTGAGATTTTGATGAATGCCTCCAGAGGAAGGAGCGGGGTTCAAGGCTTAAGAGGACAAAGCTCAAGCAGATGAATGCTTTTATTGTGCTCATAACCACTTGCAAGAAAGAGAAATTGAACTGTGCTGATTTAAGAGGAAATAAGCGAGTGAAATATAAAAGAAACTCACGGACACACAAGTCTCCGCTCTCGAAGTAGCCAGGGCAGCATTGAGAACGTCGACGGTACATGGTCCTCACCCCGCGTCGATAAGCTGTCTTGTAGCTGGTCCTGAGATGGAAACACGTACACGTACACATAAGCGAAAGCATGAACATCAATAGCCTGGCAAGTGAACTCCACAAGGGCAGAGACACAAGGACATTACGGTATGCACCTGGCTACCATTAGCTTTTCTGTTTGTGTCTAATCCAAGCTACACCCTAGAGGTGGAAAGGGGAGAAATAAACATAATTAAAGTGAGTTAAGGAAAAGTTTCCGTGTTCGGTGAAGGACATCTCGCCTGTGAATGCAACATTGCAGCACAGTGACTCATTGAGCCCACAGCTTTTAGCCGGGACACTGACGATAAAGTCTTTAATGCAGCAATTAAAACCAATGTAATGTCGGATGACAATCAAACGGCCGTTTCCATCCCGACTCTGACCACTACAATCACGGCTGGTAACATTAACACTTGGTAATAAAGACACTGGCACACCGACACCTTGATTTTTATGTGTCTAGTGGGAGAGTGCTGCTTGTTGCCATGAAGTGGAATCGTGACAACTGTAGTTCAAAGGTCAGGGTCATGCTCACCTGTGTCTGGTGCATTTAAACCAATTGAGGATGTCGGTGCACCTGGTGTAGTAGATCTGGTCAAAGGGATGAGCGTAGGACTCCTGAACAGTCACTGCGTAGCTGAGAGAGGGAAAGACCAAGGAGAAATTTAAATCTCTTAGTGATATAATATATATAATTAAAGTCATCCTGTGGACCCCTTGGGATTTTGCTGGGGCTCCCCAGAAGCCTCAACTCCCTGGTTAAGAACCAACTGGGTCAATATATGGCTTGATACTAGAGCTGCACGATTCTGGATAAATTGAGAATCACGATTTTTTTGTCTCAAATAGAGATCACGATTCTCCCACAATTCTGAACTAAACAAAATAACTTGTGACAAAATATTATTGCTGCAGTCTATTTAAAAGTTTTTTATTAATTTGAATGAATTATTAAACATTTTAATATACACACTTGAGTACATTTTTTCAGGATTCTTTGATGAATAGAAAGATCAGCATTTATCTGAAATAAGCTTTTGTAACATTATACACTATGACTATACCATTCAAAAGCTTGGAGTTAGGGATATGCCGGTATCAAATTTTCATGTTGCGATTAATTGCTAATTCTTTTATTGCGGTATATGGTATTATCAAGATATTGAAATTTAGTTTTTAAAAAAAGTGCTGTCATAATACAGAATAACAGGTTTAATAACTTTTTTCTTATAACAAAAATAACTGAACATTTAAATGCAATAAAGCAATACAGAAAATGTTATAAAGTTAAAAGTTTTACACAGATTAAAGTGCAAAAAAACTATAAAGAGCAATAGCGGTATTATCCCGATATTGAAATTTAGTTTTAAAAAAAAGTGCTGTCATAATACAGTATAACAGGTTTAATAACATTTAAATGCAATAAAGCAATACAGAAAAATGTATAAAGTTAATGTATAATATGTAAATGTATAAGTTTTACACAGATTAAAGTGCAAAAGAACTATAAAGACCAATAGGTATCACTTTACAATAAGACCTCATTAGTTAACCTTAGTTAATGCATTAACGTTCACAATGAGCAATAGCTACATTTGCTACAGAAGTTATTAATCTTTGTATAAAAAAAAGTCTTAGTTCATGTTAGCTCATTAAATAAGACAGTTGCAACTTTCGACTTTAACAACGTGTTATTAAATATTGTAATTACCTAAGATTAATGAATGTTCAGAAGAATTTTTCATTGGCAGTTTGTTAACTAATGAATTAACTAATGTTAACTAATGAAGCCCTAATCTAAAGTGTGACCGAGCAATAAAGAATCAAAACATTTTCAAACAATATTTTAGGGCATGTTGTATTCCAGATTAAAATGTAAAAAAGTTTGAAAATAAATAGCCCAATTTTTAATATTAAAATTATGAAAAAGTTGTTTGAATCAATGATTCAACGACTCACTCATAAACCTACTTCACTTGTTTCATTACTGGATGAATCAGCGTTTTTGAAGGATTCTCTTGAATGAATAATTCATTCAGTGACAAATAAATTTTTAAGTCACTTTTAGTGAAACAATGCAATCGACACAAACGTTATTTGAAGCGTAGTTACTTTCAAAAGGGGATTTGCTCTTTTTTGATCGCTGCCATAGACGTCAATGTTTATATCTGAACTATAAACTTTCACCCCAGTATTTCTGTGATAATATGAATGACTGTAAGACAGAAATAATACTGTGTAGTTGAAAAGGCAGTTTGTGAACCAAACATGGTAAGTAACTGCTCTCTCTGTGTCCGCGGCAGTGCGAACACAGATTTGAATGATCCGGTAAGGCTTTGTCAAAGGTTTAATAGACTCGGGGCATCGTTGTCATTTAGAAATTAGATCGTGTGGGTGTCTGAATCGAGATTGCAATCTTTTAATGATTAATCGTGCAGCTCTACTTGATACCTTACATATTTCTGCTGTAAAGTGCATTAAATGCATACAGTACATACTTGTTTTATTGTTTATTTATTAATTTTGAAAAAAACTTATAATTGCCTGTTTAATGGCAGTTTTCCATTGTGACAACGTAGCGCATATAGCATAGCAACATTCCCTGCTATTGGTCAAAACGTGTTAAAGGGGTCATATGATGCTGCTAAAAAGAACATTATTTGGTGTATTTGGTGTAATGAAATGTGTTTATGCGGTTTAAAGTAAAAAAAACACATTATTTTCCACATACTGTACATTATTGTTTCTCCTCTATGCCCCGCCTTTTTGAAACGCGTCGATTTTTACAAAACTAATCGGTCTGAAAAGCGAGGTGTGCTCTGATTGGCCAGCTATCCAATGCGTTGTGATTGGCCGAATACCTCAAGCATGAGACGGAAATGTTACGCCCCTCACATACTGTTGATGCCGTGTCAGGCCGGAGCGACGAGACATAGAAAAAATGAAATCGCATCATATGACCCCTTTAAAGGAACTGTATATTTGGTCCTGAGCATTAAGGGTGCAAAGTTTGAGCTTTTTTGTAGTCAGGACATTTACGTATTTGCATATACAGTAATAAACCTACCCCAAGAAATAGTCACTGGAGTAAAAAGTGACAACTTGCCGTGTGGGACCCCTACCTGAATTTGCCCAAACATGATTATGTTGCAGAGAAGCAAAGAATTTGCTGGTACCGCTGGTAATTAACTGTACCGTGAAGGTACTTTATCCCAAAAAACAAAACCATAACATACTCAAATGTAATATTCAGACAAGTATCCATCTATTTTGCTTGAAGTTCAAAACAACTTGTTATCTCTAATAATAACAAGACTCCCTTCCAGAGCTACAGCAAATCTAGAAAAACAAGATGTCTTGTTCTAACTTCCTTGAAAAAACATTACAAAACTGTTGCCAACAAAATGACATTAAAGCTCCGATGTATTCTCCTTTAGGGAAGCAATGCTAAAACTCATTCATCTCTGCAGCCCTCTGTCCTCCTCTCTGCAGGGGCAATTGCTCCTGCTTATTTGTCATAACTGATAACACCATTTACAAACAATAATTTTTCAGGCAATACGTTCAGTCAAAACAGATTGTTCTGGTCAACTGGATGCTGTTCTGCCTGCTTTATTTTAGCAACTTATCCTCACTCTCGCTCCCTCCCTCACACACACACACACACACACACACACACACACACAAGGATAATAATAAGAACATCAATATTGTTTTGTGTGTTTAGTGACTGAACCTAATACCTGTAGGCAAGTGTAACCAGATCAACACTCCCAAACACAATCCTTTATATCGCTTTAGCTGTGCCATTAAAAGTGAATACAGTCAATACAGGAACAAACAAATGTAAATCCCCTAAATCTCTGAGATAACAGAATAGAACTGAAATACACACTGTGTGTGCTTTTCGACTAATCCAAACAGCTTGTAACCACTTACATCCCACCTTATACAGAACAAAAGCTTAGCCCAGTTGTTCAAAATATTGTTGATTTTTTTAGTAATAAGATATTTTTTCAGCAAGTAGCAGTTAGCTTGACAAACACATTAAGTTGTATTTAACATCACATTCAAATGTTTGTATTGGCAATATATAGACGGGCACTTAAGAGAATACATACATACAGCTTTATATCAAATCAAACGGACTCCTAAACAGTCCTCTCTGTCAGACGTAGCATTGGAAAGTCCAATGCATTCTAGTGAATCAATTTGTTTGGACTGTTTGAATACATGAACTGCTTTAAAACAATACACCAATTCGAGCCCCACCAAATATTAAATTAAATGCTCATTGCTATGTATTTAACTCGGTTACATAAATTACGGTGTATTCTAGTGTATTTATTGTTGTAAATGTATCTCTTCAAGTTGGATGCGGTCATCCTAACTGAGATTGTCTTATTTTATAGTTTAATTTATACTACTTTTTCAAAATAATAGCTTGGCTGTAGTTGAACGATTTTATATTATGAGTAGCCTGTAAGCAGCACCACGACATTGTTTTTAAAGTTTTAAAATTTAATAATAATATTATTATTAAATTGTATTATTACTTTTTTTGGTTTGTAATAACAATACTAATGACACTTACTATCATTAGTAGAAGTTGTGATATTGTTAATTATTTGGAATATTATTATTATTTCTGATTAAGAATATTCTCATTAAGTATTCATACAATGTACAATTTACGTATGATAAATAAATGAATAAATTAATTGATTCATTTCAGACACTTATCATGTTTACAGTGAACACTGCCACAACCCATTATAACTCAAACAATCACAGACATAAACCAGATCGCTGTTAAATTACAATCCTCTTTTGTAATTTACATCCTTCTGGCATGTCGGAGAGGAATAACTACACTCTGTGAATCCTGCAATGGATAAACGGAAGGTAAAATGGAGTTTAACACGAGAGTGCCCCTCTCTCACCTCTCCCAGTGACTGCAGACATTGGGGTCATCTGGGTTGAGGCTCCATGCGCTGATAATGAGGCCCAGAACAGCCAGCACAGGCAGGGCTAATGGGTAGGCCCGTACCGGCCCCATGGCTCCTCCTGAGAGAATGAGAGTGAGAAAGAGAGAGAGAGTGCGAGAGAAAGAGACAAGGACACTTTTTGTCCTTTATCATTCTTCTAAATTGGAGCCCTTGGAACATTCTTGGAAGTGCAGTGAAAAGAGATTACTTTTTAAGAATAATATCAAGAAATGTTACAGAAATTCGATATGCGTGTCTTTATCATCAACTGACCAAAATGGGTGAATACCCAAAGTGTAATGGCAGATGGCTGATATAATAGTGTGAAATATGTGTGATACAGACTAATACAATTTAATTAAAACAAACGAGATGTACGCAAACACTTTTTTTACACAATAAGGGTTAGTTCACCCAAAAATGAAAATTCTGTCATTAATTACTCACCCTCATGTCGTTCTAAACCCATAAGACCTCCGTTCATCTTCGGAACACAAACTTAGATATTTTTTATGAATTCTGAGAGCTCTGACCCTCCCATAGACAGCAATGTAATTACCACGATCAAGGT